CGCCTCTGACGTACTCCGCCGTCACAGCAACAAATTCAATTTAATCGACTGAAACATTCGCTCGTATGGATGACAAATTTGCTCGAAATTTCAGCGAGATATCCAGGCATCCATTTCTGTGATCGCGAAAGGCGATGTTTTCACAGTTGTCTCCGAGGAATTTTTTTCCTTTTGAATGGCGTTTTATTCCGAGGAATATGAACAGTCCGGGAGTGGCGGTACACAAAAAAAAGAGATGTAGTGCACCTAACAAAAAATATTTAGTTGTAAGCAAATAGCTGCACCATTCTATATATCTTTGTATGATAGTTATGTGTATGGTCGATTTGACTTACTTACTTTGGTGTGTCAACTACATCAATGAAGTTGAAGCGTGTTGTGGCAACAAATTATTAAGGGGATCATTTTGTATAGACAAGCTAAATATCGATATAGTTGCATTAATCAATGCTATATTGCAAAGCAGCGATGTTAGAAAACAAAAGCAATTCACTACGCGCACAGCTAGAGATATATACATGTGAAAAACTGGTTCTGAGTGTATAAATATACATCTGTAGTTGCCGCGTAATGAGTCGTGTTTGTATTAACCATGTATTATCACGGCTGCAACATAAGTAACTCAGCCATTGCTCTTTGGTTACAGCAACCACATAAGTAGTTGTTCCGTATTTTACTATTGAATCTGGTTGGCACAACCAGATTTCTATATGGATCAATCATATTGTTTTTTCCGTGCACTTTTGCCATCGCCTTGAGTGAGTTTCTCCTCATTTCCAGCGAAAAATTTCACCCGAAGGGGTCGAAAGAGTTGTCTGTAAGGTCTAACGAAAAATAATTTGTTCAGGATGCGCCGTTAGCTTTTTCCTCACATACACAGCCGACGAATTCCATTCGTGCGCGATATGGTATCGTCTTTTTGCGGAGAGGTATTTTAAGAACTATGAGCCACACGAGAATTTTAAGTACGACACCAACAGTTGATTCAACAATAAATTTTAACGGATAATGCTCTCTCAGGTGCACAGAGAGAATAATTTAGTTGAATCAAATAAACATTTCTTTGAAATAGTCCAAACAAATTTTTTGATTGAACAAAATTTTGTTTGACGCAACAAAAATATTTATTTGCGACTTAGTTCCAAAGAAATATCTTTATTGTGTCAACCAAATAATTTGTTTGGACTATTCCAAAGAAATATTTATTTGATTCAATTGCTTAGTTTACACCGAGAGGACTAAACGCGAACTGACCTATACTGTGACCAATCGCAGTCGATTATTCTTGTAAAAGTCAACTGCGATTGGTTACAGTATAGGTCAGTCTGCGTTTAGTCCACTCGATGTAAACTAAGCAAATAAATCGTTCTCTCTGTGCTCTACAAAATTACAGGTAGTCAGATAAAATCTCGTACCGTCCGTTCTCTGATTTCGACTGCCTTTTCTTATGTATCTCATGCTTCTGTTCCCGCTCTATCCTTTTCTGTCTTATCTTCGTTTGTTTATCCTATTTCCTCGCTCTGTCCCGCTCTAACTCTGTACTTCTGTCTCTATTTCTTCGTGTTACCTTCTATTTTTCTTAACTTTTTCTATTCTCTCTCTCTCTCTAAAAGTTGTCTGGTCAATTTTCTCGCTCTCTTCTACGCGCAGCGCCCCTCTAAGCACTGTCTCCCTCTATTCTGATCGGCCCCTAAATTTTTCCGTCATCCACAGTTTAATTTTGAAATATCCAACAGTTCGCAGCTGGCGACATTTTCGCGATCGGTTCCGTGGGAATTTCCCTTCTCTCTAAGTGGCAGTTCATCGCAGAAAATTTTTGCAGAGCGCGAAAGCACTCGGTGTGCGCGCGCGCGCCGCACATACGGAGTCACTTCGAACTTAATAACTCCACGAGCGATTACGAAGTTTAACGCGAGGGGATCGGCCGCGTTGTCGTTCGTAGAGAACGCGGGCGACGACAACCGAAAGAGAACCGATGTGATACCGTCACTTCGTGCCACGTTAAGCTCGTGTCACACTACGGATCGGAGACTGAGGATTGCGGATTGAAGATTGGAACTTGACCAACTGGAACAAAGCAAGTCAAGTTCGTTGATTCGTCGAGATCTAATCTTCAATCCGCAATTCTGCATCTCCAATCCGTAGTGTGACAGGAGCTTAAGAGAAAATGCGGGCGAAGAAACGCACACGTAACGCAAGTTATGTCGCGCGATGAGATTGCGCGTGTGTACGTGCCCGGAGGGGGAAGGGGGGAGGCTGCAATCGGCACGCAGTTGCATAATCGCGCGGCGTCTTTGCAGAAATTTCGCGAAACGGCATGCCAGCGGCGGCGTGCGTATTTTATTTACGTGCTGGCGACACGCGGCCGACCCCGTTCAAGGTAACGCGGTCGGCCAACGGAGAGACCTGGAGAACGGCGGCGCGGTATAGCACCTTACATACAGGGTGTCTCCTGGACGATGCGCAAACTTTTTCGCAATCGTCGCGTGCTCTATTCTTCTTTCCCCCTTTTCGTGTTTCCCGCACATTACACGGGAGGGAGTAATTCCGACGAGTTTGGTCGCGATTGTCGCGGATCGAATTGAGCGGAGTATCGTTGTATTATTCGCGCGATGAAGCGAAATTCGGCTCGCAGCGGTGTTTAGGACTTGAATAGGAGGACACCAACTCGATTTATCCATTGGCTTTGCGTAAGATTTCGTCGGTAGCGTCAGCGAAAGGGGATCCACCGGAAGATGATCCAAGATTAGCCGAATAACTCCACGGGTGAAGAAGAGGGTCGACTGCCAATGGGTCCGCAGCGGTCACCCTCTCCCTGCCCCGGAGGTATGGCGAGAATGTCAACAGAGTCGAAGGGTAAAAGATTCAAATAGGTCACAAAGATCTGGAGAACATTCAGACCTCGATATCCGGAGTAATGAAGTTTCATAACTTCCAAGAGAGAAGCGCACGGAAGTTTAGAGCGAGAGAGAGAGAGAAGGAGAGAAGAAACATGAGAACTCCTTAAAAAGAGCTTTTTGAACACGAATGCGTCCAAGGCTCGATGAACACGCACACATACGACACATATACGATACACACAGTATGAGGAACGTGTCGTCGCACGTCGAATCGTAAATCGATTCTGACAGAGAACTCGCGCGTAGACGACAGTAGAAAAAGGCAGGATGCCTCGGCGTGTCAACAGCCATCGATCGATACACCGCCATGCACGCGCGCATATACACACGCATACAAATGCGTACACACATGCAGCGACCGCGATCTAACGGTTCATTAATAAATTAATGCAAGAAAGGTCAGGCGGACGATCGTTCTTCGAGATCGTATGACCGGCTCGCAAAAATCGTTCTTCGTGTATTGACATATGTGCACCGGGTGTTCCGCAAGATGTCCCGCTATTGTTATCATTGGATGATTTGTTATAGTCTGTTAAGTATTTCTGCTTTTCTTTTTTCCTTTGCAATTCGTCAACCGCGAATCGCTCGACGGACAGCGCATTTAGCGTTCTTGAAAATTGATGGTGATTTCGAGACACCCTGTATTGACCGTTAACGACGTCTTCCACACTTAAAGGCCGTCACACGCACGCTCGTGTCGTTCGCGCAAATTATTTCTGAACGATCGCTGATTTATATCGCGATAGTTAGCGCATTCCTCACAGGTTCTCTTTAATTCGCTCCGCTCGCGAAACACACCTCGGCGTGCTATAATTTCCCACGCTCGAGTTTCCCGTAATTTCCCGTTTCCCATTCACGCACACGCGATCCACGGTCACGCACACGCGTACGCACCGGCCGCGCACGTACACGCGCCTATTCTCGAAGGACCAATTCTCCTAAATCTTCGATTGGCGCTCGCGTAAGATCCCGGAGTATCGAGAGGACGGTAACGGCAGGTCGAATCGATCGTTGTTAGGTGCTCTGACAGTATTGCAAACTGTTGTGCATCGTGGCTTAAGTATCGATAGCGCGATGCGACGAGCCATGCTCGGCGAAATGAAGCCAATCGAACGACAAAACAACTGTCGGCGATAATGCCCCGTTTCGTTTAATTATTCACTTCCATTCAATGATCCTCGCCCTTCTCTCTCTCTCTCTCTCTCTCTTTTTCTCTCTCTATACCGGGTGTCGCGTGCGAAGCATCGTCAGCACACGTCGCTGTTTCACGGCGAATGACGCGAAGTGACGACGGAAACGACGGGATTGTCGATGACAAAATCAACGGACATGAATATTGAGCGTTTTACTCATACGACCGCGCTCCGGCTTCCTTCATATACAGGGTGTCTCTCACTCCCACGCGTAAGAACGTACGAATTATCAAATTTTTCTGGACGAACCATCGCGAATAATCATGACGGAAATCGTCGTGTAGTTTATAAGTGTAACTTATAAGTGACAGGCTGGAGTGCGATTTAAATGGAAAAGCACTCTCTTCAAACGAGGAGTTGACATGGATTAAACGTCATGGATTAAACTCGCCCGTCCAAATACCACGGTTATCGCCTTAAGAATCTACCAAGAGTTATCACAACGATAACAGCAACTTCCGACACAATCGGCGTCGCGCTCTTGTGGAGAGAAAAGAGGCGCCTCTCGCGTCACTTCGACAGAAAGAGAGACAGAGAGATAGAGAAAGCGCTCGGGGAGGGCCACCCCCTGCTGCACGTAGAGACGGACAGCCGGCGCCCCGACGACGGCCATGTGCCGCCCCCGGAAAACCGCCGCCCATCCGCGGATATACCGTTCCACGAGCATCGCAGACTTATCGAGAGACTCGGGATTCCGTTATCGCAACAACGACGATGTCGGCGGCGGTGGTGACGGGAAAAAGGCCGACTGACAAGACGTCATGGAACACGGAGCCCCGATCTCTCACTCCGTCTCCGTCACTCTACCGTTCCGCTCGCACGCTCTGTCTCTCTCTCTCTGTCTCTATCTCTCTCTCCTTCTGTCCCTCTCACATATACTCTCTCTCGTTCGCTAGTCACTACTCACCATCGTATCCGTCGCACGGCTGGCCGCGTGTCCGCGCATATCCCGGACTGAGAATCCGAGCACAGGCAGCACAGGAGAGCGGAACAGTGGACGACGGAGTCGCCGGGAACAGTGCGACGATCAAGGCGAACTGACGTCGTCGAACGTCGCGATCACGGAGCGACGGGCCGTCCGATCGAACGAATACGGGAAAGGACTTCACCACCCGCGGACGCAGAAAATGGCGTTGCACTGGCACGCAGCAGCAGCAGCAGCGGCAACAGCAGCGCGTTCGTACGCTCGCTCGGATCGCGCATTCGCTCGCACTCGCACTCGCTACGCCGCTCTGCTCCGCCGGGGCCGCGGCTCAACTGTACCGGACGCCGCCGGGCGCCGCTGCGGTGCCGTAATGCGCAGCGACGCCGCTCGAGGCGCGCTGTGGCGCGCGCGATTTGAATCGCGCTTCGGTACCTGACAGAAAAATTACTACATTCAGTGGTTAGACTACATTTTCCCGAAAAGTGGAGAGGATAGTATTGGTACGAACGAAAACCTCTAGACGATATAATTTTAATTTCTGTATATTAGTAACACTGTTTAAGTAGTGAGTCTGTTAGTTTGCGAAATCTTTTAGACAGATATGGGAGAATGTAAACAGTAAATATCGAAGAATTGTAATTCTTCATAAATATTAATATAAAATACATAATGGGGCATAAAATAAAAATAAAAAAATATTAAAATGACACAAATAGGTGGAAACGTGGAGTGGATGGAGATAAACGAGATAAAAAAAATAATTATACGAATGTATATGTATTTATAAATTAATAGATTATTATTGTATACAATTGTATAATTTTAATGTTTCAGTTTTAGTACGTTATGATATTCATGTTTGTGGCATAATTCTTTGCAGTAGAATCATTTTGGCAACATCATTAAATATGGAATGAAGTCTGTGCAAGGTTGAAGACAAGTTTACACTTGATTGAACACATAAGTTCACACGAGGAAAATAGTACAAGAAATAAATGGATGATAAACAAATATCAGATAAATAATTTATATGTATATATATATATATATATATATATATATATATATATATATTATATATAAAATAAAGTTGCCAAAGTGTGAGCTTTGACGCTCATCATTCCTGTAGCATAGTTCTTTGCACCATAATCAATGTGCCATTATTATCACCTGTGGAATAAAGTCTATACAACATGAAATAAAGAACACAAAGAAGTAAATGAATAATAAAGAAACATATATCAGATAAATAACTTATATTTACACAAAAAAAGTACTAAGTATCTATATGCTGTGAATAATTGCACATATTGGATTGATTGTTGCTTTGTAATTAATTTTGTTATTTTAGCCTTACAGTTAACCATGTACTGGTCAAAAACACTTGAAATTATATCTAATATGGAATATAAGAGTATATTTGTCACCAGTAATGCAGCGAAAGATTGATGTAACAAACCAAGAGCAGGTTCGTGAAATATATTTTCCAATCTTTCTTTCATTGATGTCTTCGACAGGCCTTCTCGGTATTCATGACCCTTGTATTCTGTTGATTTTGGTTTCTTTTAACAAACAGGATATGTTACCTATATTCGCACAATTTTATTATTGTGATTTGAGATTATGATTTCAGAAATGGAGAGCGTTTCTAAAATCACAATAAAATTGTGACATATGCGAATATAGGTAACATATCCTGTTTGTTGAAACCAAAATCAACAGACTAATGAAGGAAGATTAGGGAGCGGTGCACTTGGACACGGTGCATTTGGACACAGCCAATCACAGCACCGTATGATTAGAGACATTTGTAGGGGCCTTTGGAACAGCGACTTGTGATTGGACTGTGTCCAATTGCCCCGTGTCCAACTGATATACACCCGGAAGATTATCCCGCAGAAGATTGTTCTCTGTTCTGCAAGCACATGGTTTACTGCAAAGCTGAAACAAGAAAATGAATTAAAGGAAAGAATCGGTCTAACAATCCGCAGTCACAGACAGCACGTAGTAATTAATCTTTTATTATATATATACACACACATATATATATATATATATATATATATATATATATATATATATATATATATATATATATATTAACTACTTATCTGATATTTGTTTATCATCCATTTATTTCTTGTACTATTTTCCTTGTGTGAATTTATGTAAACTTGCCTTCAATCTTGCACAGACTTCATTCCATATTTAACAATGTTGCCAAAATAATTCCATTGCAAAGAATGCTACAAACATGAATCATGACGAATTAAAACTGAAATATTAAAATTATACAATTGTATACAATGATAATCTATTAATTTATAAATACATATATATTCACACATTTATATAATTATTTTTTTATCGTTTATCTCCATGCACTCCACGTTTCCACCTATTTGCGTCATTTTAATATTTTTTTATTTTTATTTTATGCCCCATTATGTATTTTATATTAATATTTATGAAGAATTACAATTCTTCGATATTTACTGTTTACATTCTCCCATATCTGTCTAGGTTGCATTCCAAAACGTTTTTTTTGAGGAAAATTTTATTCAATAATTATAGTTCACGTTACATATACTATAGAATATCGAGTAAAATTTCTTAAAAAAGGACGTTTTGGAACGCAACCCTAAAAGGTTTCGCAAACTAATAGCGAATTCGGTTGCTTGCACTAGTGTGCACTGAGTGCGCACTAAGGCTTGTTCATAGTATGTTATTATATTTAAAGATTGTCTTAAATAATTCTCAAATAAATTCTCAAATATTTTTAACCATAATATGATATGTATAACATCCGTACGAATCATTTTATTAGTTAAAATGTTTTTAAATATGTATTTAAGACACGATCTTAAATATAAGAATGTACTGTAAACAAGCCTTAATGCGCACTCAGTGCGCACTAGTGCAAGCTACCGAATTCGCTATAACAAACTCACTACTTAAACAGTGTTACTAATGTACAGAAATTAAAATTATATTGCTAGAAGTTTTCGTTCGTACCAATACTATCCCCTCCACTTTTCGGGAAAATGTGGTCTAACCGAAAGCACCTTAAAAGATTCACGTACTCCTTTGTACTGTGGCGACATCTGTAGCCACCAGAAGCGTCAAAATGGCAGCTCGTGTTATTGGAGTGTTCCACCGGCGGTAAACTTGTTATATCGCAATTACGTGATACTTGAATTTTGCACGTTAATTAAATAATTAACGTCCTGATTGTATTGTTAACGCAAAGTAATACCCAGTTCCCTCAAGACTACGACATTTTACGATGGCTGATGAGGCGGAACAGGTGAGTTCGCGGTTTACAGTCTAGTAATGTCTCAATACTTAACCTTAACGTGTATTAATTACCTTAATATTCCTGAGACAGGTTCCGGCGATAAACGTGAAGGAGCCGCTGGATCTCATAAGACTGAGCCTGGACGAACGAATTTACGTGAAGATGCGAAACGAGAGAGAGCTCCGAGGACGTCTACATGTAAGGACTATATCGTCTCTGTTTAATAAATGCCATTTCAGTTTTGACATTTCCAAATCTTAAAAACGGTTTATAATTAGTAACATTGATAACGTGTGGTTTTAGCAATAAAACTAAAGTCTGACTTCACAACTACTTACTTTAACTAGAATTTAACTTGTTAAAGGTCTATTCATCAACTTGCATAATCATATATTGAATATGCATAAAGTAATCAACTAGTTGTGACCTATTCTGATAACATGTTGATAACTTTATTATCAACATTATTTCTGTAACTCATTATTTGGTAATCTAGATCAAAGGATGTTGAGAGAAAATTTTATTAGCAGAAAAATGAGCTATGTGTAAGCAACATTGTTAGTAATGGAGGTTTTGTCTTGACTGATTGTACTATAAAAATTGTAAAATTTATGTTTAGAACATCTTTACTAATAACAATGTTAGTAACTATTTGAAGTTTTCCAACTTTGTTGATAACATTTGAGAATATCATTTTTGCTGATAACATTGCTATTTGATTTTAGCAGTTTAATCATAGTTCCTTTCATTTTATTGATAATATTTGTGTTTTCCATATTGACTGTGCATTCAGCAGAGTAGGTTGCTTTGCAACTGTGTAAAACTTGTACATCTAATTACTATATATGCTCTTAAATTCAGTCAAAAATACATACCAAATTCGCAAATTTTACAATAGTTGCAACCAGTTGGTTAAATGTAAACAGTTAAAAAAATATTTTATTAAAAATATTCAGTAAATTGTCTTCTGCAGAGCACAGATTTTGTTAAAGACATTTTTAATATTAGCTTTTCTTATAAACAATGTTACTGCTATTTTTTTTATGTATATCAGCCTTTGTTAAACACAATTTTTGTTTTGTTATAAATTGAAGCTAAAATATCAAGTAAAAAAATTGAAAACCAATTATCATATTGTAATATTATTTCAGGCTTATGATCAGCATTTAAATATGGTGCTGGGCGAAGCAGAGGAAACTGTCACTACAGTAGAGATCGACGAAGAGACATACGAGGAGGTGTATCGCACCACGAAGAGGAACATCTCTATGTTGTTTGTGCGTGGCGATGGCGTTATTCTGGTGTCACCACCTAGCATGAGAGCACCGATATAAAATTATTACTAACGTCTGTTGTGATTTTTCCAAGTTACAAACACATAAGTGTAATGCAAACTGAAACTCGAACGTTGTTAACGTTAATGAGAAACTTTCGATACTTGATTACAGACTGTGAAAACGACGTAATATATACATATATACATAAAAAAAAGATATATAAGATTCTGAGAAGATGGTTTGATTGTGAATGATAATAAAAAGTGTATTCTTATAATGTACAGTTTATAGAAAGAGATAATCAGCTACTTCGAGTAAAAGCCGACATGTCATGATGAATACAAGTTCAAAAGAAACACTTCAGAAGGCTTAGCTTATACACTACAATTTGGTGCCGCAGAGTTTCGAGATCACGAGAGGAAGAGGATTGATGTCTCGCTCCTGCGACTGCTTCGTGATCTGCAGCGTGAGATCGTCGATTCTTTGATCCTTCAGCTTCATTACGCTTTCCATATGCGAGACCTTTTGTTGCAGCATAGAGATCTTTTCGTTTTTTTCCTGCAGCTCTTGCTTCAGACGAACAAATACGTGCCGGGGCACGGTTTTGTTTGTCACCTCGTCGGGGTTCATCACGGACTTCACCGTCTCTGTAGACGCGCATAGGATAGATTGTTAAAAATAAAGAGACTTCATTTGAACGAATTAAAAAAATTTGGTAACGATTTCATTGTAACTTACCACCTTTACCATCCTCGTGATCAGAATATAAAGATATTCTGTCAGTATTACAATCTTTCAAGATTTTGGCTCGCAGATCGGCGAGAACTTTCTCGATAACGCCCGGCTGGGAACTTGCCAGCTGATTAATCAGCTCCTTCCTCAGCTTCATATCGATCTTGGACAATACTTTGCGATTCAACGTACACCAATTGTCTACCTTCTTCGCGATGCTATTGCCGGCGACGTAATTGTGAACGTCTACGTGCTTAGGATAATAACGCTTCAATAGTTCCGCCATTAACACTGAAATTTTATCGTTTCGATCAATGGTTTTGCAGTTTAACAAACATAAAAAGTTTTAAAAGTTCTTGGTCTCGTTGATAGGTCACGAGGGATCCTAGCAAAGAAATTCTATGGAAAGGAAGATCGGGAAATTAGCGTTACCTCCATCGGAGAAATCCCTGGCTATATTTTTCTTCGGCCTGGACAACTTGATCTGATCAATCCACTCATAGATTTCCCCGAGATGATCGTTGACTTCCGCGTCCAGATTCATCTTTCACTGAAAATCTGCTGTTGACGACCGGCGCACCGGAATTGAAAACCCGAGGATCATGAAAGAATGCGTGAAGAGAGACGCCCCTCCTACGTATATCGGAAATTTGTAAACGTCGACATCTCTTTCGTCTTGTCTCGCGCTTGCCGCAAATTCGCGATATTCGCTCGCGTCTAGCTTCAGGTAAACAAGTTTTTGCACTTGAGCGTTGAGCGCGAAGCAAGCAAAATACAGAGTGAGTCAAAATTAATTGTGAAATATTCGGTAAAAGTAAGCGAAATTCTTCTCGAACATGAAACTTTTAAAAGATCCAAGCGCAAACGATTATGTTAAGTTTTAAAAATTCTACACCACGGAAGAAATGGTCACAAGTCTTTTTCTCACCAAAACACACAGAATTCTTAAACTTTCGTGGACTTGTTCTATATTATATGTATTCAAAATTGAAGTACTTGGAGCTAAACAGAATTTTTGTTCGTGATACTTTTAAAAGATTCAAGCGCGAATAATTTCGTTCCGTTACGTTAAGAACTTTGCGGAACTCTGCGTTTTCAGAGGAGATGGACGCAGGTTCTTTTCTCAAGGTACAGAATTGCTCTGTAAACTTTTATAGAATCATCCCATACTATATACATATTTTGATTTATAAAATAATAATATTTAACAGAACCTTTCTTCTTCAAAACTTCAGAAGGATGCAAGTGACGCAATCGCATCTCCTGCACTTCCTTCCCACCGGTGGCCGTGTCAATGACTGCAGCGACGCGCACATTTCGCGCGGTCCTCACGCACACATACACACATACACACACACACACACACACACAACGTGTGCATGCGGCGTTTATAGAAAAGACGCACGCTCTGCACCCCTCGGAGAATCGCTTCAAAAACCGCTCCGGCTTTCTCGCCTTTCGTCAGTGACACGTCATTCTCGTGACGAAGAGGAAGCGGAAAATATAAAGCGTCAGATCGTCAATCGCAAAAGGAGGAAAGAAAGAATTTGTATTTTCTCTTTCTTCCATCCCTTTCCAATATTCTTTTCCAATATTCTAGAATTAAAAAAACAAAATTGCAAAAAATTACAGTGAAAACCTTGAAAAGATAGTTTTATAGTAAGTTATCACGAAATAAGAACTTGCATCGAGAGAAATTGGATCTGCTGGTATTGTGAAATCATCGTGGACACTTTTCAATAACATAATAGCTGTGGAAAATAATCTACATGGTGATTAACGATTTTTCTGTCAATCTTCTGGAACATTAAATAACATTAATTATAAAAATTATAAATGTGCAAAGTGATGAGATTCATTCAGCGAATTAGTGGAGTCAGTGATAATGCCTTAGATATATGAGTGTTCTGATCTTTCAATGCGCGATTGTAACTTCCTGCGATTACGGGGTGTCTCGTTTCCCGCCATGCATGCCATGATCGTCAAATGAGTGTCTCCGAATAAAAGATTCATCATCGATTTACGTCGATTGTTTACGGAGATAAAATGCGTATAAATTATAGACGTATCGTCGAAGTTCTAGAACATGTCCGGCGGAGTATTCGAAACTTTCTGTTAAGCCACATTTACTGTCCTTTAATTTTCAGTTCTTTGATAACTTTGAAGTCTATACTTGTAGAAATTGTTACAACACTCACGATTACTCACACATCTTTACTCGTGTACTTCGACTCCTGGAACTTTCCAGGCAGGCTATACTTGAAAAAAAATATTAATAATACAAATATTAAAATTACAATAATAACCGCGATAATATCAAGCCAATACGCTAGACGCTAATTAATAAACGAGACGCACAACCAGTAGTTGCGCTATGCAAATAAAAATAAAGTCTCTTCTGAGGTCACCATTTAGTGATGTGAGAAAGCGAAAAGAGTTATCATATCTTGTCACTCACCTGTCAAGATTGACAATGATGGAGAGGTAGTAATCTAGATAGTTACATGTTATATCTCAGAAAATATCTCGCATTATCTATGTTGACTCTTACTTATCCTTAACACTTATATTCCTACAGCAGATTTCATAATCGAGAATCAACATTTCAAGAGAAATTAATTTTTAATTGAGAGTTTTTTTTTTGAGATATATAACATATCATATATACCGATAAACTCATAAATAGCTGTCTATTTTATCTATCTTTTCAACTAAATTAAAGTAATTTCTCAATTTCTTATGCTACTTCTTTGTTGCAACATCCCTTATGCTTTAACGTCCTTGCTATACTTGATCGACGTATCGTATGTCGGCTGCAATCACATCTTCGTGCTGATGATAATCACGGTGGCCTGCACCGGCATATACAGCGGCTTCTTGGTGAATCATATAAACATCGCGCCGAACTTCGTTGATAGGAATGATATATCGCCATCATATCCTATCTCGTGCCAATGTTTGTGGGAAAATTGACTCAAGCATATGTGAATAATAGCGAATTCGGTAGCTTGCTCTAGTGCGCACTGAGTGCGCGTTAAGGCTTATTTACAGTACATTCTTATATTTAAGATCGTGTCTTAAATACACATTTAAAAATATTTTAGCTAATAAAATGATTCATACGGATGTTGTACATATTATATTATTAAAAATATTTGAGAATTTATTTAAGACAATCTTTAAATATAATAACATACTATGAACAAGCCTTAGTGCGCACTAATGCAAGCAACCAAATTCGCTATAAAACGAGACGAAATAATATACGTAAAAGTAAAATCAACAGATAAATTCTTTTTTTAGAGTCAAATTCTTTTCTTTTATTGAATTTATTGTACTAATATTATAAGTTATCGATATCTTAATCGTTCTATTTACAACAAACTATAGAGGCGTGAAGGATAGAGGCGTAACAGTCGTTCGATCTATGTATCATCGAGATATTGGTCTATACTAGCGATAACGAGCAGCCATGGAACAAGATCGCGTTATGTGATGAGAAGACGTACGATCAGACGTTACCTTTAAAAAAAATAGTACAGTGCAAAATAGAGTCACACGAAGTAACGTCACATCGAGCGTCATGATTGACAGAATATGTGTGAAACAAAATTGAGATCCAATTTTTATATGAAACTAAATAATATTTATTCTATAAAAGTATCCACATATAAAAAATTTGCAATGTTCCTAGGTTTATTTACTTGCGATCACTCACCTCTATTACCGTATCCGCACGATTTTACAGAAGTACATGGGTCCCCAATTGTTCTTGAGTGTGGGAATGACAATGTGGCCGTACTTCAGTCCAAAGTTACCGAATTTGTACAGGCACTTCAACGGATCCAATGCTCTCCTCATGTCCCTAAAACAAAAGTACATTATTATAACATGCGACCGCAATAATCTCTTTCTTACGATTTTCTCACATAAAGAGACACTCTTACTTTACGACCATAATCGAATTGGTCTCCTCCCAAGCTTTCTTTAACGCCATACCAACAACACCATCGTTCTGGATAGGACTGAGGGAACACGTCGAGTAAACGACTGTGCCACCAACCGATATTATTTTCAGTGCATTACTACAACGTGAAAATTATTATGCAAGCGTATTGAAGATAATGAGCACATTTACATTCATGTAGAATGTCAAATCTTGTACGTACGTCAAGATATTTGCTTGCAACTCCGGTATCTTTAATCTCTCCTGTACCCTCGACGTGCTGAAGATATTGTTCTCGTCAGAATGCAGACAGTGTCGATCTGTAGTGCATGGTACATCCACTAGGATCTATAAAAATAGCCGATAGTGATTATGGCTAATATTCGATTCGTTTTTTGGTCGCAGATCAACCGTCTTTTCAATGTTTTTAAACTTAATTGATCTCTGTTCTTTCGATTCCATATTGTAAACAATGTATTATTAAATTTTATTAGTTTCATACGGTTCCTACGTACACATTTGGAGTCATATCAAAGCCTGGGCTTGAATTTTCATTTTTGGATAGTATTTGTCACCCTGTTAGAATTTTGTCATAAGTAAACAGAGATAAAAGTACAATCTAATGTTTGTTCAGACAATTAAAGCACAAGAGTTTTCCTGATTCATCCTTGAATCATTACAAGACGACAGACCTGCTGTTGAGTTAAACTAAAAAATACTGGAGAATAAAACGTTTTGCCGTTAAATCGTACCAGAATACCAGAAACATTGAAACTAATAAAAGTAACGAGTTAGCAGAGATTCAAACATACACAAACAAATTCTTTTGCATCATTTCTAAACGACGTCGAATAATTTGGTAACATATAGCACCAATCATAACTGTAGATCAAAGGGTCTTTTTATTTTTAAATAATTAAATTTGAAAATCGATTGTGTAATATTAAACTAAAATAACTCAATTAATTATTGAGAAAAAGATGAAGAAAAAAGAATTACCTTGTTAAACATATCTTTATCTTCGATTGCTCTCGCGTCTCGTTGAGTTACATACAATTTATCTTCCCACTGACCAATGCCGTTTACAAATTGATTCATGACTTTATGTATCCTCTTCACTCTAGATAGCTGTACGTCGTTTGCGACCATCAAACGCGGCATCAATGTTTGAAGAATCGTGAGGGTTTTTCCTCCGGGTGCCGCACACATGTCCAACACAGAGTCACCGGGTTGCAAGTCCAAAGCAAGTACTGGCAACACTGAAGTACCGTCCAAGAGATAGTAATCTGTATGACAGAATTATAATCATATAGATATACAGGAATCTCGAGACATTACTTATAAGTATATATTCTTCTTTATAAAATAGATTATTTATAAAATTACTTATAATGTAATTATCAAAGATTGACCTAGAACATCAGTAGATCCTTTCTTCGGTGCAGGAAATCTATTGTTGTTGTCCTCCTCAAAAGTATATATGTTGAGATATTTTGGAAACGTTAATGCTGGATCAGGCTCAATGTTCACTGAAAAATCTGCACCTTGATTGTAGTAACTGTAGTGTTCCGACTCCAAAACCCAATCCTCCAAACCTGAAGAACAAAAGATAAATATGTTGAGCTTAAATACAATTTTGATTGAAATTATAATTGGAAAAGATCTGCTATCATCTTCCAAATATAAGACATCACACATGTCATCACATTATTTACCTTTAAGTTGTGTAGCTGGCACATATTCATACAATCCACTCAAACCAGCATTGGGATACACAATACGATTCATGTCCAAATTTACATCATTCAAATGTGCCTCGATTGATTTCATCTCCACAGGTTGCAGAATTTTAGGTTTTTCTATGATATCCTCATCTTCATCCACTGTGTTTACAGTTGTAGGTTTTGATGCATAATTTTCAGGATAATGTGACTGTACCATGTTTATTTGAGTATTTGCAATTACAGACTCCATTCTTAGTCGTTCTGCTTGATTCTCTTTCTTCTTTTTTTTACTTGACTTATGTGGAGTTTCATCAATTACTGTCTTATAAGTTTCATATATCATTTTTAGGTTCATGGCACCTTGCAACTAAAATTGACAATATATCAGTCAAATATGTAGTATGTAATAGCTGATATGTAGTATTTCAAAATAGAGACATACCTCCAATTCCGATTTTATTCTGTTTATATCACTGAAACTATTCACAACAGCCATGTATTTGTGTTCTCCCATCAATAATGCTTGTTTTATTTCTCCCCATCTCTTACCATAGACAGTACTGTAGAAATCATCGAAGTGTTTTAGTGCGATATATTTTGCTGTCTTTTTTCTCTTAATCACAGCCTAAACAACAGGTGAAGAAGAAGCAAAATAAAAAACATATTTACATAACAATCATGTAACATATACTCTAAAAATTTTATTACAAAAACGTAATTGGATATTCACCGAGTTTTTCTCACTGTATCTAGCAACATGAATCCTCAATAATTCTCTGATAGCAAGTATATTAAACAAACGTGCCATTCTTACAAACAAATATTGGTTTGAATTAACAGGTTTAAGTCACTGGTCTTCACCGTTGAGATTAGATTGAGAAAACGCAACATAACCAAAAAGTCTCCTCCTCTTAGCTGAACTTCCTACACTAGTGCAAGAAATATATATAAATTGCCAAGTAGAATAAATTTCTAAAAAATATCTTAGAAACATCTTAAAAACATCTAAAAAACACATATGACGTCTTTAACTTATCTTTTAGAAATTTGTTCTACTTGGGCCATTAGTAAAAAAAAGGTTGCAACACTATTCAAATTGATGGATTCCAGGTAAGTTTGAATCGTGCGATCGTGCAGAAAGCTTAGCAAAACTTTAGCATTTGACGAATTTTGATTCACATTCATGCATTACCGTAAGAAATAATCAAATTTTACAATTATTTTTTCAAAAACTAAGTTATTAAGTTTGTATAAAAGACAAATAAGTTGCTTATTTTTCTGTAAAAATCCTTGAATTTCTGCAATCAATGTGAATAATAAAATTAGCAAATTTTTTATTTGCGGCACGTGAGAATTATAAAGGTACACAAATAGTCGCACCACTACTTTCTTTTTACTTTCTCTTATTATTAGCTGCATTCGGTATTGTAAATTGGAGATATCGGTTCGCTTTTTTACCTCGAAAATTATTCGGCATTTCATATCTCTCTGTTCTATCACATCTATTTTCGTTATTTTCAGAGTTAATTGAGTCCCTTGAACTGCTCCGGATTTAAAGACCGAGCTCCTTTGCTCAATAATGACATCATGCTCATTTGTCGCGAAAATTTAACTTGTCTGTCTCCACACCTATTTACATATATGTTATAAAGTTTCGCAAACAATGCTTCAAACATATTCGGTGTTATTCGGAAATGCACTTCAAACATTTTATCTAAAAAACGCAGAATAATTTCTTCTGTATATTGATAAACTATTACGATATTTAAAATTCCGTTTTCATCGTCATTATTATGAAAAAAAATATATATAGTTTTAATTATTAATAATATTTCATATTTATCTCCAAATAAAAATATTAGTCTTCTTATGTAAACCTACTTCTAATCTAATTATAATCTTAAGATCTATAATTTTTTTTAAGAAGCTAAAGCTATAATAAGTATATAATAATATAGAATTATTAAAAATTATATATGTAATATATAATTATATATATAATATATATAATATTATATATGGAATTATTAAAAATGTATTATTATTATTTATTTCGTTTTGCTCGGTCACGTGATCAAGCTTGCTATTTGCTAGTTTGCATTTCAAATTTACAATACCAAAGTAATCATACGTCCTCGTGAAAATTTGAATCGCCCGCTCGCGGCCCACTTTGGTCGTTTCGCCTGTCGCCGCTAGATGGCCATAGGTGTTCGCTGACCGCATCGCAGGCGAGTCGCATAAAGTTACGCGCCATCACTAGATGCTGCCCGTTGTCTGTCGGACGCCCTTCAACCGCCTAACTTCATCGACGATATCACGCGCGCACGTTTCGGATTCACCGTTAGCGGGCACGCGGAGGACGAGAAAGGAGAAGCAACGGCGAGGCATAGCGAGAGAAGGGCGTGAACCGCACGGACGCGTACAGGTGGGGAAGCGGCAAGCGAATCCATGAGTTACGGTACTACCTGTACTACCCGCCGCGTTTTTGTTTATCCTTCCAATTCCGCGCGTCGTCGCGATAGGGAAAGAGAAAGAGCGCGCGCACATGAGAGAGAGAGAGAGAGAGAAGCATCCATTGTGCGTATCAAGCAGCGTGAGGTATAGTGGGTTTGTTATTGTTTGTCTACCTCGCGCGCGTCTACTTCGATTTATTCGCAACCGCCATGTTACGTGTGGAGGAGAGTCGCGCGCAACATTGAAATTTAAGCTGAAAATCCCGCGGCGCGTGTACCCTAACCTCCTCCTACCTCCTTCGCCACCTCTTCGACGTATTGTTGATCTCGCGCAATGCTGAATTTAGGACGCAGGGGCGCAGGAGGGGCAGCGGGGAATACAAGGTGGTTGCCCCCGCGAGTAGTGGCGCGCGGCCTCCATGAAAGTAAATTCAGTTTACAAGTTAAATCAGGTTGTTCACACCTGTCTGCGCGCTCGCGCGACATCGGCTCATCTTTTGGCTTTCATTCATCGTCATCATCTTCGTAATCGCACCTTAACATCTTCCCTTATCGGAACACCTCGAAACGCCTATAAATAGCAAGGATGACTCTCGAGTTTCTATTACAGGAACTCCTCTGGCTCCCCCCTCCCGCCATTCCTGTGTCTCCTCGTGCGACGCGGGATCGTAACCGAATGGACTTCTACCGTGCTGCGGCAGCGGCGGCGGCGGCGGCGGCGGCGCTTACCATGACGACCCAGGAAACCAAACAGGTAAATACGCCGTTTCGCCATCCGCGTGCGTACGCACACACACGCGCGCGCGCCTTATCAAACGTCGACGCAACGAGGAAGCGATGTATTTGTCGCGACATGGTCCGCGCTTCGCGAGCTAGCTGGCGAACGAACGAACGAACAAGCGAGTGGCGGCAGCGGTTACGGGAAGGAAGGGGGGTTGACCGGACGGTGAGCGGCGTTGTCGGGGTACGCGGAGGGAGGCACATCCGAGTCTCCCTCCAGGCGCGCGGAGGCGGCGGGCTGTGCCGCCGCCGCCGCCGCGGCATGTGAAACGTGGCTGTTTCGAAAGTCCCTGCGCGTAGCGAGCCTATTTTAGACGAGACGCGGGGCGCTTTGTGAAACGCTCGCGCGATAGCACGCCGTCATCGGCCACGCGAGGGCCGACCTCGCTGTTGTTATCCTAAGCGCGAGCATCGGCTTCGAATCGGGGTGATTCGTTGCTGAGGAAGCGACGAGCTCTCGCGTTCATCGGGGAGAGCTATGCGGCCGTAAGGATGTATCACGAATGTTCCGTGAACGAATGTTCCGTTTGCAAGTGTTCATTGGTACAAACTACGGAGATCGCGTATCGTATTGGCGGGCTGGAGCGCGCCAGCCGATAACCCTGTAACCCTCGAAACGGCCGGCGGTGAAAGTCCTCGCCGGATTCGCCGACCGTGGTACCAAAAGGAGAACATCCTCCTTCTAGAGTTGACTGACGCGATTCTCTCCACCGTTGTAACACACATCGCACCCCCTCGCAATGCGCCAACGTATGCGTGTGTATGAGCCAGCGAGCGACTTTCCCCTCACCCTCCCCCTTCCGCCCTCCCGGCGAGCCTCGACGACCCGAATCGCTCGACGGCGAAGCTGGTTTCGTGGATCTCTTCATGAGAGACACGTCGTACGCGATTTGTCGAGGGTGAGAGAGAGAGAGAGAAAGAAGATGAGGAGAGCGAAGAGGGACCAGTGGGAGGGCGGCGGGCACGGGGTGTGACGGGACTCGGGGGGTTCGTAAAGGCAATGCACTGTAAGGAGCTCACGACGACTATACTCTCTCCCTCTCCCTCCTCCTTCTCCTTCCCCACTCGTTCTCTCTCTCTCTCTCTCTCTCTCTCTCTCTCTCTCTCTCTTTTCTTCTCGAAAAAAGTCTTGGATCGTTTCAGACGGGACGTTTAAAAAATTGCACGTTACAACATATTCCGACGTAACACTTGAGAAATATGAATGGGCTGAGGAATGATAACTGAAGGTCTTTAGTGAACGATCGCCATTTGTCACTCAGTATTTCAACCGTGTATAAGGCGAAGGATAAAGCTATTATGTGTGCGCGTACGAAAACGTGATGTATTGTGCGAACGTACGTGTTATTGCACGATGCGCGAATATATTTGTATGACTTTCCCTCGCGACAAAAAAGAGATTTTGATGGAAAGTTAACGTTTTTACGCGAGACGAGTGACCGCAGTCACATGTCAAATATTACGGCGCGGCGCATTTGCGTAGTTTCACAAAGCACGGAAATATTGTTCAACACTTTTATAGTTTAGTCGAGATAATTGAATGATAATCACAGTGATTTAAATCGCGGAAGATGCTTGCCTCTGTTAAATTGCTTTCTATGCATTACGTTACTTCCTCAAGAGCAAAAATAT